TTTCTTCATTTTGTTTTGATTTTTTTTTTCTGATTGATCCTTTTCCAAAGAAGTATTCAGGTATTTGTCTTCAATCTCATTAATTCTGTCTTCCATTGATTCAGTTCTACTCTTTGCCCTTTCAATGTGTTATCTATTTCTGAAAATTTAATATTAATCTTCTGGATTTCTACCTATAGATTTTGTATCATTTCTCATTTTTCATTTATTTTGTCATTTTGTTCTTACATTTTCTTCTGAAATTGTTCTAGGGTTTTGTCTGTGTTTTCCTTAATTTTGTCTGTGTTTTCCTTGATATATCTCTTAATCCTTTGAAGATACCTAAATATAATTCTTTCGAATTCCTTATCAGGGAGTTCCAATGCTGCTTCTTCCTCAGGGATGTGTTCTGGGTCTGTATCCTGCTCCCTTGTTTCTACCACTTTATCTTGCTTCTTTGTATGGACTGTGATGATCTGTTGTCTCCAAGACATTGTGACGCTATTGTATTTAGATCTCTGTTAACTGTTTGTGAAGAGCAGTTAAGGTGAGTCAGGATGCTCTTGGTGGTCATTCATTGTTGGCCAGTTGGTGGAGAAAGTAGTGGTGGCTCTTACTCAGTAAGTGGATCTGCAAGAGGGGTGAGTGTAGTTGCATCATATGGGCATGGTTGTCATCTGTCACTTAGTTAGACAAAAACAATGATTAAAAAACCATTAAAAAAAGTAAAAGCAATCAAACAACAACAACAACAACAAAAAAAAAACCCCACACACACTGCATAAACACACAGGAACAATCATCAAGAAAAGAAAGGAAAAAATAAAAACCCCACAATATCTGGGAAGGGGGAAATTCAAGAAAAGTTGTAGAATAGGAGAATAATGAAGAAAATATTGGGACAAATACAAAAAGGAAAACAAGGAATGGGGAGAATTACAAGAAAGAAAAAAATGGGATTCAGGAATAGGGAAGAGAGAAAAAACTGAAAACTAGAACTTGGGAAGGAAGAATAAAGAATAATAATAAAAAGATGAAAAAAAAAAGAATAATGATATAATTTTAAAACAGACAAAAACAAATAAACTAAAAGGAAGAAAAAAAAAAAATCTGGGCACGGCAGGGCACCCAGGCTCCATCGGAGCACACAGACTTGGACTGAATTCCTCTCAGCCCAGAAGGTCGGTGGGAGTGATAGATGGCCACACCCCCATTCACCAAGAGAGTGTGCAGTATAAGAGTAACAAGGGGAATATCACACCTTTCCACTTGTTCATATCTAGAATGTCTTTGCAGTTTCTGGCAAGTGAAGCCTATTCTTAGGTCCCTGGAATCTAAGAGAAGGCTGTCACTTTAAATATCCAGAATGGTTGACAGCTTGTAAACATTCAAAATGGCTGCACCCTTGTACAGCAGAAGTCCACAGCTCAGACCATCTTCCTATTTGCTGCTTCCCCTGTTATTCACCAGCCACCAGTGCAGTCCTCCGTGCAGCCTCTGGCTAGCAGGGCTGATTTTTAGGTTAATTCTTAGGTCCTAATGCCCCTTGGCAATATCCAAACTGTCTGTGCCATCAGGATCTCTGACAGACTGCAGTTCTTTTCTGATGTTTTCATGCAGGTTCTTCTACTAGTTGGAGTTTAGTCTACTTCTGAATCTTTCCTTTCAAAGATCAGGGCTCCAGGATTATCCTCAGTATCTGTGTTAATTGGTTCTCCTTTTCTTTGTTGAAGAGAGTCTATGTAGTTTGTCTGCCTATTCTACCATCTTACCGGAACTCCCAATGGTAGAGCTCTCATCTGTTACATAGGAGACCTATGTTCAATTCTCAGTGAATGGACCTCATATGCAGCTCCCCCTGTGTGTCAGTGGAGGCTTGTGTGTTGCTATGATGCTGAACTGGTTTCAATGGAGCTTCCAGATGAAGATGGACTAGGAAGAAAGGCCTGGCAATCTACTTCCAAATATCAGCCAGTGAAAATGTCACAGATCACAATGCTCTAACTTGATGGCAGCTAACAACATCTATGAAGTTGGTAATGATGGAGAAGAGGAGTTAAATTTGGCCAGGGTAAAAATTAAGTTTTTCATGTCTGATTATAAAAATGTCCCATTCTTCTACCGTTTGTAGCCTTTTCTGCCCCAATTTAAAGCCACTAGTGCTGGTGGTTCTCAGGCCCAGAAAATGAAGGAGTGTAGGGCTATCAGTGAAGGTGGGAAGTGACTTGCACTCTGAGACTACTAGGTCACCTGCTTCCCACCAGTCAATACAGCAGTGACAAGATCATTCCAATGAGATGCACCATTCCATGGGATAGACCTGTGGGTTAGTTACTTGTTGCTGAATCAGCAGCTGTCACCTGAATCACTTCCTCTCTCAATAGCCCTCATAACCTTTATAAATATTCTTTGGAAACTTTGTGATAACAAGTAGATATTTACAGTCTCAAGTATCTTCCCACAAGATACTTATTAATTAAAAGGGAAAAACAGTAACTTCACAGTGGAGAAACCCTGCAGCCACACCCTTAACCATGATCAAAGTAGTCACTAGTAAAGAGACATGTTGACATCATGGGCCTCCTGATGTGACATACTGAAGGACGAGGTCACTTCTACGAGATTCTTGCCCAGCATGCATTACCTGGATCTCATCATGAGGAAACATCAGACAAACCCGAACCAGGAGACATTGTACAAAAACAGGCTAGCTGAAATGTCACGATCAAAACTGTGCCAGACTGAAGAAGATTAAGGAGATATGATAACTGCATGTAGGTGATCCTGGATTGGATCTTGATGCAGAAAAAGATCACTGGTGAAAAAACTGATGAGATTTCAGTAAGGTCTGCTGCTTAGTTAACTGCCATTGTATCAATGCTAATTCTGATAATGTTAATTTGATAATTGTATTATGGCTATGTAAGGCTATATATTGTGGCTATATATCTTTTTTTTTTTTGCTACCACTCCTCTATGAGTTGGAAATGACTCGATGGCACTTAACAACAACAACAACAACATATATCTTTTGGGAGACCTGTATGAAGAGTACATAGGAGTTATTTCAACAACTTTTTGAAAATCCAAAACTATTTCAAAATGGAATATTAATTTTATATAATTTATATATTAAAAAATATATAAATCTAAAAAAGTGAAGTGTGCTATGACATACAGGGAGCCCCTGGATGATGCAAGTGGTTAATTTGCTTGACTAATAACCAAAAGGCAGAAGGTTCACGTCTACCCTGAGGCACCTTGAAAGAAAGGCCTGATAACCTATATCCTGAAGATTCCAATAATTGAGAACCCTATGGAGAACAGTTCTGGTCTGACAAACACAGGATCATGATGAGTAAGAATCAACTTGATATCCACTGTTCTTTTTACTATTTTTTATTTTATTTTTCAATGACTTGCAAAGGACTTTCACAATAATCGCTAAGATTTTTATAACAATTCCATGGGTTAGAGAGGGAAAAATGAAACCAAGGAACAGAGAGGTTAAATGACACACAGCTAACTAATTGCTTATGTTGCCTAGAACAACTTGTAAACTATCTTTCCCTTCCACAGATGATGGCACATTGGGTCCAAATGACAACAAAAAGGAAAGACTAGGGAAAGATATTTCCAGCTGGAAGGGTCAAGGTTGGAAGAAAATTCTTGGTTCTTTAAGGGGTTTCCTCTTGTTCTACTTAGAATCATCTCATGATTCTGTAAGAGAGAATTAAGTCAATTTTGCCTGAATCCTTGGTATTGACAATGGCAATGCAGAATGAACCAAATGGGTCTAAGAATGTATTTTAAGAAATGACATTGTGACTCAAAATGTGCTCATTTTAACTTTACTAGCCCTTTCTCTTCTTTTAGTGAAACTAGCAAAATGCCTGGGATTTGGATTGTACCTTTCTCCCCTCAAACTCAAACACTGTACTTATATTGTAACATTTGGACAGAAAGAGAAGTCTTGAGAATTGCTTGCATTTTATAACGGGAAACAATAAGACCCTGCCTAGGAGCTGGATGACTTGCCTGTGTCATGGAATTGTCACCATCAGGGTGCAAACTACAATCAAGGGCTTTTTGACCAGTTTGATTTCACAGTAGCGCTCTGCTATTCAATATGCATTCTTTAAAAAAATAACTTAAAATCCTCTTACATATAAAGAAGCAATTTATCAGAGCCATCTATTAACAATTTGAAGTCATTCATGTGGGCACCATAAGCATCAGGAGTGTCAAGGAGGCACTGAGAAAGGGAAGATTCTGTATTTTATGATTCAAGAACACTTAAGGTACAGATATTGAAAGCTTTTGTTGTTGTTGGACACAGATATTTAACCTATTTCTAGTTCTGGTTAACCCAAAGGAAACCAGAAATCTTTTGTTTGTGTCTCTGTAGTTACTAATTTGGCTGTTCAATAAGTATGCAGAGTATTTTTATTTTTGTTTACTTTGGGATGCTCAGGACCCCGTAGACCCTAGGAACAATTCCGATGACCACCATCCTGATGGTCACCACACGGGATTGGATACAGAAAACTAAGGAGTCTGGGCAGATGTTTAGCAAACTTAGAATGCTCCCCTAGGAGGATGAGAATCTGATCATTTGCCTCTTTCTATAAAACAATGTTTTTTCCCTTCCCTTGAATCTGATTAAAAGGGAATTCCAATTAATTGGGTTTCAACTACTTGAGTTTTCACTGCATGCATTTATTTTGAAAACATTTCAATTGCTTCAGGAAACACCAGTAAACTTGTTAGGAAGGAGCTAGATGCAACTTAAGTAAAACTGTTTGGAAGACAGTCAAAGCAGAGACATCAGCTAGTGATGGTACATTAAATTAGGCCTTATCCTTCCTCCCCCACTCATGAAAACACCCGCTGAGAGACACTTTTAATGTATTTATGATCCCGGAGGATTGATTGACAGTACCTTTGTCTGGACCATGCCTGGTCTCTGGTCTCTCAAGTGCTCCAGGGTCGCCGCAATATCAATCTCTTTAGCACCTGCAACAAACCACAAATTGGGCTGAGTTCAGCGCACAAGATAATCCATGCTGCATCTGTCAATCTCCTGCTATCTGGGCTCCCTTTGGGCTCACCGGCCAATTGAAAATTATTACACTCATCCCTCAGCAGACGTGGCGGGCAGCTGCAATTTCAGTGTTCATATAGAAAAATAAGCAAGGGTGCCTTTCATTAGCATTAATTCAAGAATGCTCAGTTGAAAAATTCCTGGAAGATGCCTATATAGATACTTACAAATAGCAAATCATTGCTATTAGGAATTAAAGCTTTATTAGTTTTTTCTTTTTCTGTGTATATGACAATTTAACAAATGTTTTAAATTAATAGAAAACAGTATACAGCCTTAATTTCTATTACATAAGTTTTTTTTTTTTTAATTTATAGAAATGAAAAATTAGATTCACTAATTTTTGGCTTTTAAATGTAGAGCTCCCTGCTTTTTAAAAGTAATTGTTCCCCAACTTATTAAAAAAAACAAACCCAAACCTACTGCCATCAAGTCAATTCCCACTCATAGCAACCCCTATTGGGTTTCTAAGGCTGTAAATCTTTACAGAAGTAGATTGCTTCATCTTCCTCCAGCAGAGCAGTTTGTGGGTTTGAATCACTGACCTTCTGGTTAGTGGCCAAATGTCTTACCCATTACACCACCAGAGCTCCTTCAAAACATACTGTACAGTCACAGTAATCAAAATGGCCTGGTACTGGTACAATAACAGACACTTAAATCAATGGAACAGAACCAAGGACCCAGAAATAAATCCATCTATCTAATAGAACTGATTTTTGACAAGGGTTCAAAGTCTATTCAATGGGGGGAGATACAATCTTTAGCAGATGGTGCTGGCAAAACTGGATATTCATTTGCAGAAAAATGAGACAGGATCTATTCCTCACACCATACACAAAAACTAACTCAAAATGGATCACAGATCTAAGTGTTAAAGCTGAAACTATAAAGTTCCTGGAAGATAACACAGGGACAAAACTATGGGACCTAATTTTTTTTCAAAAATAGATCATCAAATACAAGTATAAATGCACAAACAGCAGAAGACAAATTAGATAACTGGGACTTCATAAAAATTAAATAGCTTTGTTCATCAAAAACCAAAAAAAAAAACCAAACTCACTGCCATCGGGTTGATTCCAACTCAGAGTGACCCCTTTTGGGTTTCTGAGCCAGTAAATCTTTATGGAAATAGATTGCTCAGTCTTCCTTCCATGGAGTGGCTGGTGGGTTTGAACTGCCAACCTTCTGATTAGTAGAAGAGCTCCTTTTGTTCATCAAAAGACTTTATCAAAAGCGTAAAAAGACAGCCTCCAAACTGGGGAAAATATCTTTGGAAATGACATCTCTGTTAAGGGTCTAATCTCTAATATAGAAAACTTCAACAACTCACAACAAAAACACAAACAACCCAATCATAAAATGGGTAAAGCACATGAGCAAACACTTCACAAGAAAGGACATTCAAGCAGCCAACAAACACATGAAAAGTGCTCCTGATCTTTAGCCATCAGAGAGATGCAAATTAAAACTCCACTGAACTATCATCTCACCCCTGCTAAAATGGCACTAATATAACAAGGAAAAAACAGAAAACAACAAATGCTGATGAGGATATGGGGACTTTGGTATGCTTCCACACTGCTGACAGTAATGGAAAATGATACAACTACTATGGAAAATGGTATGGTGCATCCTCAGAAAACTAGAAATAGAAATACCTTATGATCCAGTAATCACACTCCTAGGTATATACCTGAGTTGTAATAAAAAGGATACAAACAGACATATGCACATCTAAGTTCACTGCACTACTATTCACAATAACAAAGAGATGGAAACAACCTAAGTGCTGAATGGATAAACAAAATGTGGTACACACATAAGTAGAATACTACACAGCCATAAAAAGTAATGATGAGACCTTGAAACATTAAGTGTTCCAAATTTCAAGAAAAGTTAGTAAAAATACCCTAGACTATATTTACTAGTTAGGGGTTTCATTGAGAGATCCTTCTGCTTATAGACAGTATCTCTCTTATATGTGGATTCCCTGGGTGGTGCAAACAGTTAACCTGCTCAGGTGCTATTTTGGTTTTCCAGAGCTGCTATAACAGACATACTACAAATGTATGGCTTGAACAAACAGGGATTTATTCTCTTACAGTGTAGGAGGCTAGAAGTCCGAGTTCAAAGTGTCAGCTCTAGGGGCTTTAACTCTGCCTCTTGCTTCTGGTCCACCGAAGCTAGAGGCTTCTCTGAATTCAGAAAGCTTCCAGCTGCTGAAGCTGACAAACCCAAGGTTGACAAGTAAGATGGCACAGTCCCAAGATTATTAAGTAACATGGCAGGCCACTAGTTCAAGTCCAGAAACAGTCCCAAGATTGGCAGGCAACATGGCAGACAATAGAATGGAGATTCGGCTAATTGCAGGATCTAAGCATGCTAAAAAGCTCAAAACCTTTCCCAAAGCACCTTCTTATATACTGAAAGCAGACCACATCCCTAAGGATGTGAGCTACTCTACTGAACTGTTCACAGTAGATTCCACCATGGAGGAATAACTCATCATGGGGAATAACTACATCAAACCTGTTCAGCCACTCAAAACCAGGCCCAGCCAAGTTGACATACAACCTTAACTACCACAGGTGCTAACCAAAAGATTGGAGGTGCCAGTCCACCCAGAGTACCTCAAAAGAAAGGCCTAGCTGTCTACTTACAAAAAATCAGTTGATGGAAACCCTATGGACCACAGTTCTACTCCTGACACACATGGGACACCATGAATCAGAGCAACTAATACCATACATGAGGTGATGCTGTTTTCATGGGAGTAATTTTATTTGAATTTGAAATTGAACCTTTTCATTCAATAAATACATAGGCTTGTTTTCCCATTTTTTGCCAAGATCTAGATAATTTAATAAGATGCTCTGGTGGCATAGTGCCTAAGGTATTTGACTGCTAAGCAGAAGGTCGGTGGCTCAAACCCATTAGCTACTCCATGGAAGAAAGATGGGAAAATCTACTTCCATGAAGATTTACCACCTGAGAAACACAATGAGGGTCACTATGAGTTGGAGTCAACTCGATAGCATTGAGTTTGGTTTTTGGTTTTTTAGATAATTAATAAGATAGGATCCCAAGCTCTCAAGCTTCTTACGGTTTAGAAAGGGAGATGAGACACATCTACTGATACAAGTAATGCCAAGTATTATGGGAATTAGAGGAATAATGGCAAGAGATCTCCTCTGAAGTGGAGTAAGACCCACTTACCATATTCTAGACAGATGTGCAGCATTGCATGTACATCCCTTTATTTCATTTCTACTGCAAAACTATGAAGTGAGAACTGTTATTCTGTCACGTTGTAGTGGAGGACTACAAGGCTGGCTGAGGTTGACAGACTGGTACAAGGTGCCACAGAGTGTAAGGCATATGGAGCAGCATTATGGATGGCTTTGGAGAGCAGTTCAAGACTGCTCTAAGTATAGAAACTCTATTCCTCTCTGTTTCTATCATAGTCTTGAAGGGTGACATCAGGCAGTGTCTGAATCCAGCTGCATATCAGTCCCTCAACCACAGAAATGGGAAAGTAAGTTTAAAAGGTTATCTTAATTTTTAAAATGTTGTGATTACATGGCTTTATTTGGGTGGTGACTGAGAAGCCCACGGAGTTTTTTGAGCATGGCAGCATTATGATCAGAGGTGCTGCAGAAGATCATTCTGACAGTGGAATGAGTGGAGGTGGAATAATGAGGCCATGACAAATTATGTGACATCAAAAGAGTTTGAACTGGGAGCTGCTGGCAGCTAGGAAGAAAAGGTAGGGATAGTTGGGAGCTACTGGAGAGGAAACAAATTCTAACCAAATGTCATATTTGCATAAAAGGAAAACAAAGCAAAAAGAACTGAGAATCTGGAAATAAAGACTACCATGTAATAGGGTGGTTAGAGCTTAGACTTAGGAAACAGGCTGATCTGAACTGATCTCTCATTCTGACAGGTCCATGGAAATTGCCAAGTATGTTTCTCCACCTTTAAAGTGAAGATAACAGAAGTACTTATATCTCATAGTGTTACTGGGACAGGGCTTGGTATGCTGTAAGCTCTCAGTAAACTGCAGTCATTATTATTATAACCAAACTGAAAGGCTTTCAAGTTCTATCTATGAGACAATGAACACCACTTTAGCAGGTATGGAAATACCATGAGCATCTACCAAATTTGAAATAAGTCCCTTTATAAACCAACCAGTTGTCACTGACTATGAGTGACCATATGTGTCACAACATAACTTTGCTCCATAGTGTTTTCAATGTCTGATGTTTTAGAAGTAGATTGCCAGGTCTTTCTTCTGAGCCACCTGCCTCTGGGTTGACTCAAATCTCCAACCTTGTGGTTAGCAGCTGCAAAAAGGGCAAGGAGGCCACATATTCTGACCTCCTAGAACCCCACAAGAGGAAGGCAGAATCTCCATCAATAGCCCAAGGTCTATTACTGCAAGGTCAGACATGCTGCCTCCCTCCAGCCCTTTCACCAAC